AAAGAAACCTCTATGCAGAAATAAATAGGACCGCAGTGTGGAAGGGGTCTCAAAGACCATGAAGGACAGAGGCCATAACAGGGATGCACAGCAGTGCCGCGTGAAAATTAAGGAGCTAAGGCAAGCCTACCACAAAGCCAGAGAGGCAAACGGAAGGTCAGGGGCAGAGCCGCAGACATGCCGCTTCTATGCGGAGCTGCATGCCATGCTAGGGGGTGCAGCCACCACTACCCCAACCCTGTGCTTTGACTCCATCAATGGACAATCACGCAACAGGGAAGCGGGTTCAGGGTACGAGGAAGATGAAGATGAAGACAATGAAGATAGCTCACAGCAAGGAAGCGGAGAAACCGGTTTCCCCAACAGCCAGGATATTTTTATCACCCTGGACCTGGAACCAGTAATCCCCGAACTCACCCAAGGAGTGCTCCCAGACCCTGAGGGCGCACAAGGGACCTCTGGTGAGTGTACCTTTGTAAATATTACACATGATTTAAAAGCAAGCGTGTTTAATGATTACTGATTAATTTGCCCTGGCAATCACGGCCAGTACAGCTACTGGAAAAGTCTGTTAACGTGTATGGGGATGGAGCGGAAATCTTCCAGGGACATCTCCAGAAAGCTCTCCTTGATGTACTCCCTAAGTCTTTGCAAAAGGTTTCTGGGGAAGGCTGCCTTATCCCGTCCGCCATGGTAGGACACTTTACCACGCCAGGCCAGTAGCACGTAGTCTGGAATCATAGCATAACAAAGTATGGCAGCGTATGGTCCCGGTGTTTGCTGGCATGCAGACAACATCCATTCCTTATCTCTCTTTGTTATCCTCAGGAGAGTGATATCATTCATGGTCACCTGGTTGAAATGGGGTGATTTTATTAAGGGGACATTCAGATGTCCACCCCAGATGATTGCCCAAGCATCAGAAGGCTGACCTTCAATAAGACTTAAAGTTTTAAAGTTTTAAACTGCAGTGTGTCCTTGTCCTTCACTTCTCCTCCACCCCTCCCGGGCTACCTTGGCAGTTATCCCCCTAGTTGTGTGATGAATTAATAAAGAATGCATGCGAAGTAACAATGACTTTATTGCCTTACAAGCAGAGATCAAAGGGGGGAGGGGAGGGTGGTTAGCTTACAGGGAAGTAGAGTGAACTGGGGGGGTGGGGGAGGTTCATTAAGGAGAAACAAACAGAAGTTTCACACCGTAGCTTGGCCAGTCACAAAACTGGGTTTCAAAGCTTCTCTGATGTGCACCGTGCCCTGCTGTACTCTGCTAACCGCCCTGGTCTCTGGTTGCGCGTAATCAGTGGCCAGGCGATTTGCCTCAACCTCCCACCCCGCCATAAATGTCTCCCTCTTACTCTCACAGATATTGTGGAGTGCACAGCAAGCAGCAATAACAATGGGGATATTGGTTTCGCCGAGGTCTACCCAAGTCAGTAAACTGCGCCAGCGCACTTTTAAACGCTGCAACATGATGCGGTCCTGCCAGTCTGTGCTTGTTTCCCGGGCCCAGAATCGGCGTTCCATGGCATGAACCTGCCCCAGTAACACCATGATTTGCACATTGCTGGGGCCCGTATTTTGGGAGAGGTCTATGTCCATGTCAATTTCTTCATCACTCTCATCGCCGCGCTGAAATCACCTCCTCGCCTGTTTTTGCTTTGGCATGTTCTGGCTCTGCATATACTCCAGGACAATGCGCGTGGTGTTCATAGTGCTCATAATTGCCGCGGTGATCTGAGCAGGCTCCATGATCCCAGTGCTATGGCGTCTGGGCTGAAAAAAGGCGCGAAACTATTGTCTGATGGAGGGAGGGAGGGGCGAGTGACGACATAGCTTACAGGGAATTAAAATCAACAAAGGTGGCTGTGCATCAGGGAGAAACACAAACAACTGACACACAGAATGGCCTCCCAAAGATTGAACTCAAAACCCTGGGTGTAGCAGGCCGTTGATTTCATGGAGGGAGGGGGAAGCAAATGATTACAGAACAAATCTGGTCCATCTATCTTTTACATCTTAGGCTAGCAGCAGACCGTGCAGCATGACTGATAGCCATTGGCATCTTCTGGGTGCTTGGCAGAAAATGGTGCATTACGACTGCTAGCCATCATCGTCAAGACAGTGCAATAGGACTGCCGGCAGGACTGAGTCTCCAGGAGACAAAACATGTCTGCCCAGGCGCCTCTGACCGAACTCACTGAGGAGTACAATGATGATGGATACCAGTCGTAATACAGCATCTGCTGCCAAAAGGCAAGGAGCTGCTACTGTATAGCAATACAGCCCCACGTCTGCCAGCACCCAGATAGCCGATGATGGCTACCAGTCATACTGCACCATCTACTGCCAAAAGGCAATTAGCTGCTGCTGTGTAGCAATGCAGTACCACGTCTGCCGGCACCCAGAGGACATATGGTGACAGTGAGGTGAGCTGAGCGGGCTCCATGCTTGCCGTGGTATGTCGTCTGCACAGGTAAACCAGGAAAAAAGGCGCGAAACGATTGTCTGCCGTTGCTCTCAAGGAGGGGGCAGGGGGCATGACGATATGTACCCAGAATCCTCCGCAACACTGTTTTTGCCTCATCAGGCATTGGGATCTCAACCCAGAATTCTAATGGGCGGCAGAGACTGTGGGAACTGTGGGATAGCTACCCACAGTGCAACGCTCCGGAAGTCGATGCTAGCCTTGGTACTGTGGATGCGGTCCGCCGACTTAATGCACTTAGAGCATTTTATGTGGGGACACACACAATCGACTGTATAAAAACGATTTCTATAAAACCGGCTTCTATAAATTCGACCTAATTTCATAGTGTAGACATATGCTGAGCTCCACATGGATTTTTCCTTTCTTTCCTTCCCTTTTTCCCCATCTGCTACATCTCTCTCTTTTTTCTTTTATGCAATGAACTAACAGAGTAAACCAATGCTAGCTCTAGCTACAATAAGTTTTGTTTTTAATAAAAAGAATTCCCATTAAAATACCCTGTTTCACAAATCTCTTTCCAAGGCAACTCTGATTTTTGTCATGAGTAAATCTTGTGAACTCAAAGTTTCTCATATCCATCTGTCTCATCCCATTTGTTTAGTGAAAATTACTAAATCCTCTAAGTATGATTGGTAAAAGTACATGTGTGATTCTTTTTTGTTATTGGATGCCCGTTACTTGAGAATTAACTAACTGGAAAACGATTGCATGTAGATTCAGTTGTACTACTCCCTGGTTTCCATTCAAGCCATAGTAAAAATAAATATTTTGCCTAAAATTGGTATGAAAATAAGAGCTGTCCCCAGACTCTGTGTATGATCAATCTATAAATGTGCCAGAATTTCATCCACTCTTTTACAGGCAAGTAGTGCTGAACTACGTGGGTACATGTGAGTCTAAATATGATATTTAACTGGCAAGGTAGCTTCTTAACTTGACGTACTTGCACTTGATAACTTGCAAGTGTTTTTTTTCTACCCAATTCTATAGCCAGCCACATACTCCCAGTAACAAAACAAAAACAACAAACAACAACGAAAAAACAAACAGAGAGCCTTTTAGTAAGAGAATTAATAATATACAGAGCCTGATTGGAGACGTGTCTCTAATCATGTAATATCACAGTTTGTCTCAAAACTCAAGATACCTATTTAAAGCATCTTATGATTAAATTACATTATGTATATATCCTCTTCTCTGAATCCTGTTTTCACACTCACTGTGAAGAAGAGAAGGGAATTGAGAATTTGGAAAGAGGCGCAGGGAGATAGAAAAAAAACAAGTGTTTATGGACATAGGAAAGGGCTCGTAAGATTCTCCAGCCCCCATTCACTGTACATTGCAAAAAGATCTACAATTCAGGTTCCTTTTGTGTCAAGATCCATTTGGTACAGGAGTTGGGAGTACAGGACTTAGATGCAGCCATGAGATTTTCAGGCAGCCTTGGTCCTGATACTGGAGTATATTAGAGTAGCTCAGGAGCTGATCTCACTAACATTAGCCGGCCATGATCCCCAAAGAAGCCATATACCAGTTTAGAATTGTCAGAACAGAACAGAGGCCCACTCTGACACAAACTACCTGCCCCCAGCGTACCCTCTATGCTGGAGAGAGGAGACTAGTTAAAATGCTTTACATCAGCTGAGATCTTGCCTGTGTAGAGGAATTCTCAGCTGGCCATTTAGGACAAAAGATGCAAAGTGACCAGAACAAGGAGGAAGAGAAGCTGGCCCTACATTTTTTGTTTTATTTTCCCACTGTTTCTATTAAATGCTAGTAAGGAAAGTGTGGTTTCTGGATTACAAAACTCTCTCTTTCTTGGAGGGCTATTTCCATGTAACTGAGCCTGCTATACAGTTTCTTGTTCATAAAAGGTGGTGGGGTGATAGCAATCCAAACTGTGCTTCTCTCTTTGTGCATGGAGCAGCTTACCCTTATACTTAAAGCCCTGTTCAAGCAAAAAATGTAATCAGATCAATAGTCCCATTGAACTCAGTGAAACTACTCACATCATGCTTAAAGTCTACCACGTGTTTCAGTGCTTTTCTGGATCGGGCCTTAGATGCATCTCTGAGTGCTTGGGACATGTTTAGGGACATGTTGGTATCACAACACCTGACAAAACAAAGTTTAAAATAGGGAATCCAGCATGTACAGATTATTCCAGTGTTAATGGTCTACTAGCGCCTATCTATTATTACACACGTATAGTACATGAATACATGGAATTATATCAGAGTGGAAATCACTAAATTACTCCTATTTTTGACTTTCCTAAAAAAAGGGTGTGTTTTTCAGGTTTCATTCCATATATTGCAATACTCTGTTTCCCTATACTGTGGTTTTGGTTTGACTACATCCTTAAAATGATCACTGATGATTCAACATGCACCCTCTAACTCCTGCAAATGGTATTAGAGAGACTTCTTTCTATTTGTCTTTTCTGGGCTGCAGGCTCACTCTTTATTGCTCTCATGTGCATCCCTGGAATATTGTAAAGGAAGCAATAATCATGTAACGATACGCCAATGTTTTGAATAGCTCCCATATCAGCCTGAGTCTGACTTGACCTCAATTCAATTTGAAGCAAAATAAGATCTCTACCTGAGGCCATGCCTGAGTGAGGGAGATGAAAACAAATCCCTTTAAGTGATGTCAAGGACTGTGACATTCTACTTCCAAGTTTCAAAGTTAAAAAAGGGTAAAATCATTCTCAGGATCCCACATGCTTATTTTTAAACTAGTGCAGGTAGTGGACAGGCTCAGCTCAAGGTCAAAATTTTAGATGAGGCTCTGTAATTTGCCTTAGTGTGCTTATTAATTAAGGTCACTTCAGGATGTTCCTTCAGTGCTCTGCTGTGGCTGGTAGCCTATTCAGCAAATTCCTTCTGTAAGGTTTGAGGCCTTTTTTCTGTAGCCACATTAGGAGAGTAGCAGTCATAAGCCAAGAAACAGAAAGTCACATCCTTACATTCCCGCGAAATTATACCAAAACAATGTAATATTGGGCTGTTGAGAATGTACTCCTGTCCTAATGGTATCTTCCATCACCAGATAAAGATACAGATGTTTAAAGAAAACTTTGTTTCATAGCATTCTGTCTGGAAAGGAACCACTTATCAATTGTCGTGATTGTGAAACCTATACTTCTTTATTGTTTTGTCTTTATGGTCCCTACTTCTTATTGTTTATCTGTATGGTCTCTTTAATTGTTTGTCAGTTGCATAACTAATTTTGCAAGATTTAAATCAACTAAGGTGGTGGTAAAATTGGTTAAAGAATTGTTTCACAATACGTTAGGATTGGTCAAAGAATTATATTGTAGTACTTTTGTTTAAAATGATTGGTTACGGTATAACTAAGCAGGCCTCAAGTTTAATTACTAGAGTCCAAAAGGAAGTTCTTTGGAATCTAACTCCAGGACACAGCCCAAGATCAGAGCTTCCAGACCTCAACACCTTTCCAATCACACTGTGCAGAAGCTGGAGTCTCCAGATGACCTGATCCTGGCTGGCCATCAGGAAACGTTCATCTGCCTTATTGGGACTGGTGAGCGTTGTATGCTTAGTGTGTGTATTCTGTTTTGGTAACTGTTAATAAATAGAGGTTAAGGATATTACCGTGTAAGGCTCTTTCACTGGTAAAAGGCCCCGCAAACCTGCAGACGATCATGCCCTGAGCCCACAGAAGGGTAAGTCCTCAGGCACAGCCGCTTCCCACAGCTCCCATTGGCCAGGAACGGCAAACAGCAACCACAGGGAGCTGCGGGCGGCCGTGCCTGAGGACTGTCAATGTAAACAAACTGTCTCACGGCCCACCAGTGGATTACCTTGATGGGCCACCTGCAGCCCATGGGCAGGTTGCCCACCACTTGTGGCACCTTAGAGACTAACAAATTTATTTGAGGTTTGTAAAATCCTGTTTTGTAGGTTTCAGATAAATTGTTATTTTTTGTTTGTTTGTTTTTTTTAAATAATGCCACTAACAATCAGCTTGAATCTTCCATTCAAAGTTGTGAAACGGACAGACATTTTTTTGCCAGACACAGGTAACTAGTGTTGTTTGGCTTTGGTATTTAGTATATTTAATCCTTGAGGTACCTCAATGCTTTATAAAGTTCAATATCTTTTTAAAGACTAAGTCTGTGGCTGTGGCACCGGCAGTCAGAACCAGGCAACTGGGGAGAGATTCTGGATTTTGTTTTGTTTTGTAACAAATAGCAGATAAGAGCTGCAGAAAAAGAATAAAAAATAAAAAAACAGTGGTCCTGCAGGGGTGAGCTGCACAAAGAAGCAATGCTAGGAACACTAAGCCTTAAAGTGGCTCTCAGTGATTAGAATGTTAGTTTGATAAGGGTACATGAAAACTCTAATAGCATAAAATAAACAATTACACCCTATGTAAAAATTGATATGGTCAATATACTGTTATAGAAGTTAAACTATTGAAGAAATGTGCATTTTCCCATGACTTATGTAGTGTATATTGTAGAAGGTGTAAAACAAATGTAAACAAAACCTGTTACTTAATTAAAATTCTGCAAGCCACGATAGTTTGTGTTTTCTTTTTCAGATTGCTGTGTGCTTTAAAAACAAACAAAGCAGACAAACAAAAAGGAAAACAAGGGAAAACAGGTATTTTAAATTTGTAATGGGCCCAGTGAAGCTTGTGGGAAAAGGCCAGTCCAACAGTATTCCAGGTAAAAAAAAAAAAAATTGTCAGCGAAACAAAACAAGCCATGGTTAAAATGGCTCCATTCCTCACAACTGAAAGCATGCAAGGGGACTAGAAAATTGTTTATTTTATTTTTCAAAAATCTCAAAGGAAAAACTAAAAACTTGTGGTGTCTGTGTTAATTACCGAGCTGATCGGGGGAGGAAAGATCTGCTTATAGATGGTAGCACAAAGGGGTTGCAGATAATGGTCAGCAAACAAACTACTTGTAAGCAAGAAGGCTCAGATTATGACCCTCCAGGAAAGGGATGTGGAGTCAAGCCTGAGAATAAAAGGGACAACTTAACCCTACGTGGAAAAAACAAACAAACTTTTTGCGTGTGTGTATGTACAGTGCTGAAATCTGGAAACATATACAAAAGGGATCCCCCATGATATAATTACATTAAAGCCTATGCAAAGATTCCAAGAGGATATTAAACACACTGGCCTCAAAGACAAATTGTCTAAATAAAAGGCATGGTATAACAAGATACTTATAAACACTCACTTGTAATAAATTTGATGCTAATGTTATTGTTAATATTAAACCTTGAAATAAATTTCATGTTAATGAGTAACCTTGTAACAATGTGTAATGTATATGGTTTTGGGGAAAAACTTTTAAACATGCTAGAAATGATAATTGGAAACACACCTTATGTTAAAAAGCCTTATAGTAATAATGCATCTCAGCTATTATCTGTAAATAAACTGAAAACTTGGCACAGCAGAGAAACCATTACAAACCTGGTCTGCTGTATGAAAAGGGAAACTGAGGTACACCGCCTCCTGAATTTCATGAATGAACAGTGGGATAATTCACCCTAAACCCTTAAAAGGCAGAAGCCATTAAAATCTGGCCTGCCTATAGAACAAAAACACAGGAACGTCTGGGGGATAATTCTTCTGTTACTACTCTAGATGGACCTTTGGTCTGACCCAGTACGGCCATTCTTATGTTCTTATGTAAAAAGAAGGGGATATTTTAAGCAATAATCTGCAGCCCCCTTAAAGAGGATAGAAAAATGTTCTTTTTGTCTTTCAGAACTTCAGGAAAAGCTGGCACCAGCTGAAGAGCAATCCAAAATACCATGGATCTACTGTCACGACGAAGATTGTGTTTTGTGTTTTATATTTTGTGTTGTTTGTCTTATTGCTAGCATTATTGTGTTAAAAAATGAGATACAGCATTAGGCAGAAAAGGATTGGTGAGCTCTTTTCCTGTATTTACAGAAACAAATGTTGCAGAAGGGCAGAGGTCAAGGAACACTAATAGGGAAACATCTACAGGTGGTGAAGGCACATTTAGAGGCAAAATGTGCATGGGACATGAGTTTTATCTGTTGGTGTGAATGAAAGGATAAACATAAGAATTTTAAGCACAAATTACCAAAGGAAAGAAAAAGGGTATGTGAAAAACATTGGTTAGTGACATAGGTGTAGTTTGACTTCTGTATTAGGGGCTGGGGGGGCTGGGGTGTTTCCAGTCTGGCCAATGGGGCCACATACGTGTGGGGGCGGGAGGGGGCAAATTCTGTGCCTGCCCATAGGGGCACCATTTCAAATGGGGGGGGCACAATTTTAACCGTGATTCCAAGGGCTACTTAGGTAAGTGAACTCTAGTGTTTTTGCAGATAATAACAGAAATATCTGATAGGAGCACTGTATCTAATTCCTATATCAAGAAAAGAACAGAAGTACTTGTGGCACCTTAGAGACTAACAAATTTAGTTAGTCTCTAAGGTGCCACAAGTACTCCTGTTCTTTTTGAGGATACAGACTAACACGGCTGCTACACTGAACTATATCAAGAAAGAAAATTAAATAAATATTAGACCCACTCAGCTCTAATACTAACATGTTCTGACATCATGTGGCAAGTCACTTATGGGACATTGGTTAGGTTTAAAATTGTAATGTATATTCTTACTCAGCTACTCTTACTAAAGTCAGAAGGGACCATCATGATCATCTAGTCTGACCTCCTGCACATTGAAGGCCAAAGAGCCTCATCCATTCAATCCTGTACTTAACCTCTGACTCAATTATTGAGGTCTTCAAATCATGGTTTAAAGACTTCAAGTTATAAAGAATTCACCATTTACTCTAGTTTACCTGCAAGTGACCCCATGCTGAAGAAGAAGGTGAACCCGCCCTCCCCCAGTCTCTGTCAATCTAACCTGGGGGGGGGGGGGAGGGAAATTCCTTCCTGATCCCAAATATGATGATCAATTAGACCCTGATAGACCCTGAGCATGTGGTCAAGACCCACCAGGCAGATGCCTGGGAAAGAATTCTGTGTAATAGCACAGAGCCCTCCCCATCTAGTGTCCCATCTCCAGCCATTGGGGATTTTTGCTACAGACATATGGGCCACACATCATTGTAGGCAGTCTTGTCATACCATCCCCTCCATAAATGTATCAAGCTCAATCTTGAAGCCAGGTAGGTTTTTTGACCGCACTGCTCCCCTTGGGAGGGTGCTCCAGATCTTTACTCCTCCAATGGTTAGAAACCTTCACCTAATTTCAAGCCTAAACTTGTTGATGGCCAGTTTATATGTATTTGTTTTGGGGTCCACATTGATGCTTAACTTAAATAACTACTCTCCCTCCCTGGTATTTATCTCTCTGATGTATCCCTCAGAGTAATCATATCTCCCCTCAGGCTTCTGTTGGTTAGACTAAACAAGCCAAGCTCTTTGAGTCTCTTCTCATAAAAAAGGGTTTCCATTCTTAAAATCATCCTAGTAGCCCTTTTCTGCACTTGTTCCAGTTTGAATTAATCTTTCTTAAACATGGGAAACCAGAATTGCACACAGTACTCCAGATGAGGTCTCACCAGTGCCTTGTATAAAGGGCACTAACACTTCCCTATCTCTACTGGAAATACCTCACTTGATACATCCTAGGACTGCATTAGCCTTTTTCACAGCCACATCACATGGATGGCTCATAGTCATCCTGTGATCAACCAAAACACCGAGCTCTTTCTTCTACACTGTCACTTCCAACTGATAAGTGCCAAGCTTATAGCAGAAATTCTCGTTGTTAGTCGCTAAATGCATGACCTTACACTTTGAGCTATTAAATATCATCCCATTTTTATTACTCCAGTTTACAAGGTCATCCAGATCTTCTTATATGGTATTCTGGTCCTCCTCAGTATTGGCAATACCTCCCAATTTTGTGTCATTTGCAAATTTTATTAGCACACTCCCACTTTTTGTGCCAAGATCCGTAATAAAAATGTTAAATAAGGTTGGTCCCAAGACTGATCCTTGAGGAACTCCACTAGTCTCCTCGCTCTAGACTGACAGTTCACCGTTCAGTATGACCTGTTGTAGCTCTCCCTTTAACCAGCTCCTTATCCACCTTTCAGTTCTCATATTAATCCCAATCTTCTCCAATTTAACTAATGATTTCTCATGTGGAACTGTATCAAATGCCTTACTGACATCCAGGTAGATTAGATCTACTGCATTTCCTTTGTCTAAAAAAATCAGTTACCTTCTCAAAGAAAGATATTAGTAACTTTGTTACCACCTCTTGAATACAACAACTGAAACAATTGTTGAAAAATCTATAATTACTTTCTATCATTTAGGCTACTTACTTTTTGCAGTTCACCAAGCTTGGAACAGATCATTTAACTTTAGGAAACATCCCAACAGCCCTTACTTATCTTAATCACCTGTTAATCACTCTGTTTATAAACAAAATTCTGACTCCCTGCCTCAGGGGCTTCAGCAGGGAGCAGCACATCTCCTGTCTCCTCTGCAGAACTCCTTACATTGCAAAAATATATATATATAGAGAGAGAGAGAGAGAACTGGAAGGGACCCTGAAAGGTCATTGAGTCCAGCCTCCTGCCTTCACTAGCACGACCAAGTACTGATTTTTGCCCCAGATCCCTAAGTGGCCCCCTCAAGGACTGAACTTACAACTTGGGAAACAAGACATTAGCCTTTAAACAGGCCCAGGAGATAACTCAGCAATTGGTCACTCAAATAATTTGGAAAGGCATGCAAGGAAATTTGCCTTTGGAAATAAAAAAAGTCATTGTGGGAAAATGTCACAGAAGGGGAGAGACCATTAATGACATTGTGGAAATTGGTGAACTTTACACTGAATAAGGACCAAATGGTTCTGTGAGTATATGTAGTAACTGTACATGACAGTCTCACTATTGATATAAATCCAGTGGTACCTGTGGGAATCCAACTAACCAAAAATTTGGTGATGTATTCCACTCATCGTGATTTAGGGTGACCAGATGGCAAGAGTAAAAAATCGGGACGGGGATGGGGGGTAATAGGTGCCTATATAAGAAAAAGCCCCCACAATTGGGACTGTCCCTATAAAATCAGGACATCTGGTCACCCTAGCGTGATTCCTGGGAATATAAAGAACATCAACAATGGAAAACTATTGATATTTTTCAGTGTGTGGTCTGTGAAAATTTAAGATATGTGTTTCAGGATAAACATTTACAAGAAAGAGATGAATGTTTCTATGTTAAAGACAAAGAAACCTAAAGATGTATGTTTGATATATTCACTGAACAAAAATCAGCTGTTGTGTATGGAGGAAGGAGATCTGTTTGTGTTAGGAGGCAGTGTCCAATGATAGTAGTGCACAATAATGAATTGTATTTTATGACTTATTTAGTAAATATATGTTTTTGCAATATTACAAAGATTATAAATTGTGATTTTAAGTACTATGTACCTGCATGGACTGTAAACTACTTGAAGTTTAAACCACAGTTGTATCACAGTGTAAAATCTGTAACCTTAGGTATGAATGTGACCATGATAAGAAAATTGTTGGTCCATCCTATGTTACATTTGCATTTACAACATATTGCACAGACAGGAGAACAAATACTTTGTAATGGGTTGGACCCCCCCTTCTGGAGTGTCACCTGATGTATGGGGTCCAACTGAGCCCACCCATTCCACCAGCCGGGGCTCCCTTGCCCTGCCCTGCTGTGCACACACACACACACACACACACACACACACACACACACACACACACAGCT